GCCAAAAATGGCAAGCACCTCCAGAATGCTGACACCTGCCTTCCACTCAACACCTTATCCTCTAGAAAAGCCTCAGCTTCGTAGTTTTCTCCATTTAAGCTCAGTTTTTACACCAAATGGAAGCAGTTCTTGTCTAGAATCTCACAAGTTGGATTGCCAATTTGGATGGCTCGAAAAAGCTAAATTTCTGGGGCTTTGGCATAAATGCACTATTCAAGTTGAGTCGCACCGCGCTGCGTTATCCGTTCCTCCATGCCGCGGCAAGGTTTTAGAATCTGGTGACATACGTCTTTAGCTTTGGCGGACAAGGGATGTGTCCCACTTTCGAGGATTTCAAAGTTTTACTGGAATCCAAGCGCGATGAAAAAATCTTGCCTCAGCTCTGGTTTGGCCACGTCCAAGCCTTAGGATGGATGTGCGGCCTTACTATGCACGACACTTGGTCATTGATTCACGACAGAGAGCTAGACATTCTGAGCTTGATTTGTCGGTTTTCTGATGTCGGTGATCACGACAACCATCATTAGCAGGGTTACCGGCGACATGCGCTTTGCTTGTGCATGCTATCTCATTTCTTGTTTGCCCCAGGATTTTGTGAGTTTAGTACTTGTTTGATTGTAGTGAGCAGAGGATACTTCTTCAAAAAAATAAAAATACAAAACTTATAAAAACTCACAAGTCCTTCAAAGTGGTCAGCTTTGCTAGTGTTCCCGGCAAGTCCCCAGAAAAATTATTTGAGGTTAAATACCTTCAAAAAACAAAAACAAAATAAAGTTCATCCAAAGGATCAAAAAACCAATTGGGTAGTCCTAGTTTTCGGGGTCTATGACTCTCATATACAATGTCATGGGTTCAATCCTCAATGATGGACATTAAAAGTTCATTTCCCACTCCTTTGAGGTCACCCCAGGGGCCTAGGCCCAGTAATTACTGAGTGTATATGCAGGATGGAAGACTACATGTACTGGGAATTGAGAATTCGCTGGGGTGAAGACCTGGACACACTATGAGTTAAAATATATATATACATATCGAAAGGTTTAATTGTCCTTGACTTCGGGTGCCAACAAATGGATGCTCCGAAAGCCCAATCTATTAGAGTAGGGCATAAGTTGTAACATCTATTTCAACACTATTAGGACTAGCACATTTATTTAACAACTTTATGACGTAACATATTTAGAAAGGAAGGGAAATAAAAGCAAGTAAAAAGGTATTACAGTCTCGTAATGCTGGAAAGGTTACCAAGCTCCTGAGGAAGGTCTCCCGACAGTTCATTGAACTCGAGGATTCTACAATCATCAAAACTCCCAATCTTAACAAGAGCGTGCGTGAAATTTTTCATATGCATAAGAATAAAAAATAATTAAAAATAAAAAGATATGAGTGATTAGAATTTCACAGGCTGTTAAGTGTGGTGATGTTTCCAATTTGTGATGGGATTGAACCAGTTATTCGGTTTCCAAGGAGGGATCTGCAATAACACCATTTTTAGTATTAGAAACATGAATAGAAAAACTTCAAGGTTGCATTTAAATCTTAAAATTGTGAATGGATTTATAGAGGATAAATAAAAAATTTCTTTTTGCTTTTCTTTTTAATCTGCAAATCCATTCATAAATAAAATAAAATAATAATAAAAATAATAAAAAAACACAGCACAAAATGACATATATGTACATGTCTCATTAAATTTGTGTATTTACATACATGTCTACTAGTGGCAAGGAACCCCATTCTGGAGGGATAGTACCATTAACGTAGTTGCGGCTGATGTCACTGCACAAAAGAGAGAGTAATCAGCAAATAATGGCCAATTCTACTGTATACGCCGGTGTAGAATGAAAAAGCAATTACAGTTTTTCATCGATGGACCAGATTGGCTAGAACACTTGCACCTCACTAGAAGGTTGCATTTCATTCTTACTTTCCTCGTATTAGTTAGGATATTTCTCTCCCACTTTAGGAATTTACATGTAATTGTATTTTATGTTGAATTTGATTCTCATTGTAATTACTGATCCATTGTTTCTGATACCTTGTAAGGGGAAAGTAAATACTTACAATTCTTGGAGATGAGGGAGTTTGACCAATTCTGGAGGGAGAATGCCACCAAGATTTTGTGATTTGAGAACTCTGCACTTCAAAACAAAAATTAGTTTACTCATACTACTTGCAATATGGCAATAAGGATGAAATCATGGAAAACCTTTTTATAGTTTGCCTTTTAAGTACACACCTTCTTACAGTGTTTGTATTATGAATTTGTGAAGAAATTTGTCAGGGATAAATAAAAGAAAAAAATGAAAAATAATATAATTTCTACATTGCACACCTCATTCTTTTTCCTCTCAGCGGGCAAATCACTCCTCAAGGTAATTTTTACCATCGGGTTAATTGGATCCCCTAATGTAAAGATAAATTATAATAATATTTCTTAAACTTTACATTTAATATAGGAATACTCTTATCATTCTGAAAATTACATCAGCTCGAAGTTAATAGATGCATTGCAAATTACACCCTCCATTAGTCAACACTTAGCCAATCAAGGAATTTTGATTATGTCAGCAATTAATTTTTTTTAAATGCCAGTTTTAACCTTGTATCTCACTCAACCAAGACAAAAACACCACCATTCCAGACAAATCAAGCAAAGAGCAGCCTCCTATGTGCAATTGTCACCCCTTCTCTCTTTATAAATCAACACTCACATGATTTGAGTTGATGACTACAAGCACAAAACCCACTTGGGATTTTCATCAAACAGTTCGTCCACACACTTTCTCAACTTCGAATGTTGCCTCATATGCTTCGATTCGCATACATAATCAATGGAATCTAAAAATTCAGATTTCATGCAACACTCCTTACCATCTCCGACCACTGCGACCGACCTCTCACCGAAAATTGGGTCGTATCTGATGTGTCACAACACCGAACTTTTTTGCGCTGCAATGCTCGACAACCACTCGACTGGAACCGTTTCTAGAATCGATCTCTATCATGGTGACATCACTGGGTACCTCCCGGAGGAGCTTGGACTCCTCACCGATCTCGCATTCTTTCACATAAATTCGAATCAGTTTTGTGAAACTGTGCCTCACAAGTTCAAGAACTTGAAGCTTCTCTTCAAGCTCGATCTGAGTAACAATCATTTAGCCGAAAAGTTCCCTCTGGTGGTACTGAAATTGCCGATGTTGAAGTTCTTAGATCTTTGATTCAATGAGTTTGAAGGCAATGTACCGAATGAACTGTTTGGGCTTGCCTGGATTTGATGATGGGAGGAATTGTTTGCTGCGAGGCCTGTGCAGAGGTCGAGGGCGCAGTGTCAGGCGTGCCGGGGAGGGGTCGCCGGCAGTAGTTGCAGTGGTGGTGGCCATAGAAATTGTGGTGAAAGGTGGATTAGGGTTAAACTCTTGAGGGTTGTATTGGTAATTTTGAAAAGGGATAAAAATGTAATTAAAAAAAATTGAAAATGTGAGTTGTAAGAAGAGGGCTTCATTTGCTGAAAAATCGGTGCAAGGAGTATACTCGTGTACGCTTCATTTGTTTCCTTTTGAATATGAGGCTTGCTATTTAGTCTTACATTTCTTTTTAGAGCTCCCAAATCTTTCATTTTTATTTAATTCTAATTTTATCTCAATATAAAATTTCACTTTTACTTTAGCCTCACCTTAACTTCCACCATTAGCAACTCCCTTGTTGCAGCCCATCCATGTCACCACCAATCTTTTCATCCTGACATTGCCCTTCAACCTACCTCAACATGTCACCGCCAATACCTCCACCTTCATCTCTCTCTCCCTTTTTCTCTTCCTTCTTCTCTTTTTCTTCTTCTTCTCAAAACCCTGGGTTTTCATCTCTCTCTCTCTTTCTCTCTCTCTCTCTCCAGTTTTCAGCCCCATCAATGGCTACCATGACCCCCGATCTACCCCTAGCCACTGCCACTGCAAATTGCGATCTCTACTCCCATCAATCGTGTTAGGTTTTTGTCATGGGCAATCTCGTTTGACAAAAATTCGTTCAGTTGTAATTTTTTTCGCTTTTATGTTTCAGTGAAGATGTGAGTATTTAGATGCAAATCTAACCAGCATTGTGCATATGTAAAGGAGTTTGTGATCTTAATCTTTTCATGTTTGCCACTTCGCTGACTAAGTACAGAGATCGAGCTGCTCAGTTAGCTCGCGGGGGTCGAAGGGGCAGCACCCAAGCGGGGTCGAAAGGCAACGACCCCGAAGCAAAAAGAAAAATTGCAGTTAAAGTTGTTTGACTACCCAAGCGGTCATTTGTGTGCTTGAGTGAAGAAAATGATTATCCAATATTTTTGCAAAGCGCTTGAACTTCTAAAAAAAAAAATTTACTGCTCGAGCAGTGAAAGTTACCCTCGCTCGGCCAGCTTACCGCCTTAATCACATCGCTCAAGCGATGAAATGTGCGCTCGAGCGGTCTATGCGATCCAGTTTTCTATAAAGTGCATTGTCGCTATTTTTAGGATTTGTGCCGTCCAGATTTTCAAAAATGAAGAAAATACAAAGTGTTTTATATTAGAGGATGCTTTATGAGTGTTTTCTTGATGGTTTAAAAGTGATCAATGAATCCATGAATTTTATAGAAACATCACCAAGGGGTTTGTTTATTTTCTTTTATTCACAAAAGAGAGAGTTGTTTTTCGGAGTGGCTCTATGAATTTTATGAGTGTTTTCTTGTTTGTTCATCTGGGAAACTTGGGTCTGACACTTTGATGGATTTCGGAGAGGCTCATTGTCGTGGATTCAACATCAACGTTGTAGATTCAACATTAGACAGGACAATTCTAAGCTGAAGATAGTGGTAGAAGATGTTGGAACATTTTCATAATATATTTATATATATTTAAATATATAATATAGTTATATACATGATTAAAGAGATGTGATTTTTGGGTTTAAACCAAGGGATGTAATCATTGAATTTAAACAAAAAGGTGTGCCTTTTGGATTTAAACCATGGGGTGTAACCATTGGATTTAAACAAAAAGACATGACTCTTAAGTTTAAAGGATATCACTTTTGAATTTAAAGGACACGACCTTTGGTCTAAGGGATACAAACCTATGCTTATATAAAGGCAAAATGGGTTGGCATTTGGATAAGAAATCATCCATATGCAATCCATGGAATTTCTCTCTAACATTGTTATTTTCCTCTATACTTGGTGGATTAGAAAAATCCAAAAGTATTCGGGATCTAATTTCGTTTGTGCATATTGTAGTCAGATATCAGTCTTTAGACTGGGTTTCATTGTATCCTAGAGGTCGAGGGCGCAGTGTCAGGCGTGCCGGGGAGGGGTCGCCGGCAGTAGTTGCAGTGGTGGTGGCCATAGAAATTGTGGTGAAAGGTGGATTAGGGTTAAACTCTTGAGGGTTGTATTGGTAATTTTGAAAAGGGATAAAAATGTGATTAAAAAAAATTGAAAATGTGAGTTGTAAGAAGAGGGCTTCATTTGCTGAAAAATTGGTGCAAGGAGTATACTCGTGTACGCTTCATTTGTTTCCTTTCGAATATGAGGCTTGCTATTTAGTCTTACATTTCTTTTTAGAGCTCCCAAATCTTTCATTTTTATTTAATTTTAATTTTATCTCAATATAAAATTTCACTTTTACTTTAGCCTCACCTTAACTTCCACCATTAGCAACCCCCTTGTTGCAGCCCATCCATGTCACCACCAATCTTTTCATCCTGGCACTGCCCTTCAACCTACCTCCACATGTCACCGCCAATACCTCCACCTTCATCTCCCTCTCCCTTTTTCTCTTTCTTCTTCTCTTTTTCTTCTTCTTCTCAAAACCCTGGGTTTTCATCTCTCTCTCTCTCTCTCTCCAGTTTTCAGCCCCATCAATGGCTACCATGACCCCCGATCTACCCCTAGCCACTGCCACTGCAAATTGCGATCTCTACTCCAATCAATCGTGTTAGGTTTTTGTCATGGGCAATCTCGTTTGACAAAAATTCGTTCAGCTGTAATTTTTTTCGCTTTTATGTTTCAGTGAAGATGTGAGTATTTAGATGCAAATCTAACCAGCATTGTGCATATGTAAAGGAGTTTGTGATCTTAATCTTTTCATGTTTGCCACTTCGCTGACTAAGTACAGAGATCGAGCTACTCAGTTAGCTCGCGGGGGTCGAAGGGGCAGCACCCAAGCGGGGTCAAAAGGCAACGACCCCGAAGCAAAAAGAAAAATTACAGTTAAAGTTGTTTGACTACCCGAGCGGTCATTTGTGTGCTTGAGTGAAGAAAATGATTATCCAATATTTTTGCAAAGGGCTTGAACTTCTAAAAAAAAAAATTTACTGCTCAAGCGGTGAAAGTTACCCTCGAGCGGTCAGCTTACCGCCTTAATCACGCCGCTCAAGCGATGAAATGTGCGCTCAAGCGGTCTATGCGATCCAGTTTTCTATAAAGTGCGTTGTCGCTATTTTTAGGATTTGTGCCGTCCAGATTTTCAAAAAGGAAGAAAATACAAAGTGTTTTATATTAGAGGATGCTTTATGAGCGTTTTCTTGATGGTTTAAAAGTGATCAATGAATCCATGAATTTTATAGAAACATCACCAAGGGGTTTGTTTATTTTCTTTTATTCACAAAAGAGAGAGTTATTTTTCGGAGTGGCTCTATGAATTTTATGAGTGTTTTCTTGTTTGTTCATCTAGGAAACTTGGGTCTGACACTTTGATGGATTTCGGAGAGGCTCATTGTCGTGGATTCAACATCAACGTTGTAGATTCAACGTTAGACAGGACAATTCTAAGCTGAAGATGGTGGTAGAAGATGTTGGAACATTTTCATAATATATTTATATATATTTAAATATATAATATAGTTATATACATGATTAAAGAGATGTGATTCTTGGGTTTAAACCAAATGATGTAATCATTGAATTTAAACAAAAAGGTGTGCCTTTTGGATTTAAACCATGGGGTGTAACCATTGGATTTAAACAAAAAAGACATAACTCTTAAGTTTAAAGGGTATCACTTTTGAATTTAAAGGACACGACCTTTGGTCTAAGGGATACAAACCTATGCTTATATAAAGGCAAAATGGGTTGGCATTTGGATAAGAAATCATCCATATGAAATCCATGGAATTTCT